ACATATATGGAAATTGAAAACTGTTGATGGTATTTATTGTATTTGACTGAGTTCAGGTGAATTTTATCGCACACATACCCTTGCAAGTTGAAGATGCTGTTAATAGTTCAAAATAGCCCATTCCCAACCACCTCTTCAACTGCAGCAATACTACTGTTCTCCCAGCTAATTCTTTTCTGCACGATCTCCACACTTTGAAATCTATTTCAATCGCAAAAATGATACCAGAGTTGAACAATTTCGATCCCTCAAATCCTCTCTTAATAATATATATAATTTTGGATTTGCATTGTTTTAGTTTTTTAATTGTTACAAGAATCTCGCTAGAAAAGGAGATTGAGCCTATTTCATCATCACCTGCTCAACCATGTAACGTGTGCATGTTCAAGAATAGAGAAATATCAAGCAAGAACGAAAACAACTATATGTTTAGATTAGATTCCACCACTCTACACCCCTCCCCCTCTCCCAGCACACCTGTTGTCTCCAGAATCGTGCCACTGGCTGGTGAACAAGCACCTTGATAGTTCGCAACCTGCCAGCTTCCAATTATCACGAAATCAGCGCCACCTAGATAGTCACTTTTCTGTATATATAGAAGCCAGCCAGCCACCACTAGTCCGAATATTCTCAGTGCTCAAATCTGCTAGACGTACTCTCATACTACTATGTGTGGTGGTAGATTTACGCAGCCTAGTACTTGGTATTTTCAGCACCATATATTTTTTTGTTCTCTAACGTAACGTTAACTTGTCTGTTTGATTTTTTTTTCATTTTACACACTGTAATATAGCCACGTCTTGGAAGAACTATTTTTATTTTTGTAATTTTGTCAAAGTATCTTTTCCTTAGTAAAGTATTTAAATTTGTTCGTTTTTTGTACTTTATCCTGCAGTTACCACACAGTGAAGAAGTCAACCTAGCAGTTTTTATTTTAATTTGTTTTCCTTTTTATTATATGTGCATTACATTTCATCTGCCCTAAGCCACTGCTCATAGTCATTTTACTGTCATATAATTAATACTGATTTATATAAACTTTTCAACTTCTTATTCATGATGTCTAGGTAATTGCCCAATAATTATGTTCTAGTTGTATCAGTGATATTGGCGAATACTCTCTGAAGTGTTTTGAATAAACCTGAAGATATTTAAATATTTTTTCTTTAGTGCTTCCATTCCTCATATTACTGAAATTTTCAAGAAGAAAATCTGTCTATGATATATATTTATACATTAATGTTAAAAAATGCAACTTATTTAGCATTAATGAAGGTTAATGTTAACATCCAATATCTATTATATTGCATATGCTATGCTTAAATTCAATATACATATTGCTAAGTAAATATCTGCAATTCACTTTTTTTACTCGATTTTATGTGATAGTTCAAGGTCTAATTTCAGTTTATTTGTAAATTTACATCCCAGCAGATATCTAGTAGGAATTGATATAAGGGTATGATAAATCTGCCAACCTGTGAGAGAGAAGTGTAGGCTCATCAGGATGTCCAACATGCCCTCGTGGACCATCAAGACATCACCCTCCCGCTTCACCAGTCTCTCCATACTCCTTGGAAATTCAAATGTAGTTTTCCGCTCGACGCGATTTTCTTGCTCTAAATTGGCGACCTCTTTCAGAATGCCATTCTCAACTAACTGAAATATGTAAATATATTTGTAATATCTTAGGGTGTTTGTAGTCCATTTGTGGCGCTTCCTCAACCACTCCTCCACCCCGCTTTCCACCATTGAGAGATGGAAACATTTTCATGCTACCGGATGTCAAGGAGTATGGAGCTGTTCTTCTATCTCCTGGCTCTCACCACCAAAGTGCATAATAGGCATAAGGTTTGAGACCCGCACCTGCCCAAGTCACAGAAAGCTTGTGCAGTCTAATATAGGAAGAGAAACATGACAGGAATATGAAAAGAACGAAAGACTCGTCAATATTCAGGTTTAAATAGAGGGTAATATGAGGAAACATGAGAAGAAATTAACATAAACATTTGAATTGAGTGAATGAGTAGCATGAATAAATAAGAAAAACATTAAAAACGTTAAGGGTGAAGTTAGATTCGAGAGATTTCAATAGGTTGTTCATAGAGGGAGATTGGCATAATTAAAAACTGTTACAGAATAATTATTATTGAAGGTTTAAAAGGCAGCAAAGGAACTGTACGAATAATGATATGACGACTATGCAACGCATTTTAGAAGGAAACGAAAACTCAAATCAAACTAGTTTTTAAGACAAATTAAATAGAGGTTTCAATTAAACTTAAATATTTTGCAAATTCAAAGAAACGCTTCCAATAGACTTGTGACTAATTATATTTAAGATAAGCATGATAGTATGTTTAATGGTGATGACAAAGGAGCATAAAGTTGAAGGAGCATTTGGAAACTCTTATTGGTGGAATCTATTTAATGTATATATGAAAACAACGATAGGTGTGGAAGATAGAATACAAGAAGATATATCAAAGTCGATGATGCAGCTACATCAGTGCCAAGTTAATATGTTAGAGAGTTGTAGATATAGATGAAGTACATGAATAAATTATAAAATTCGTCGAAAACATGAATTATGAAATGAGTGTAGAAAGTGCATCATAATGCATAAAAAAATAACACTGAACGTTAGGAATGAAAGGCCTAAACATACAGTAATATACCACTGGATAAGTGGATGGCATGATAGTGGTTGGAAGTGATCGGAAAGTAATCATGAATCTAGTCAGTCATGGTCAATGTGGCTATCTGATCAGTAATGGTCAGTGTTGCTATCTTGTCAGTGATGTCCAATGTTGCTATCTTGTCAGTGATGGTGAGTGTAGCTATCTTGTCAGTGATGGTCAATGTGCCAATCTTGTCAGTGATGGTCAATGTTGCTATCTTGTCAGTGATGGTCAATGATGCTTTTTTGTCAGTGAAGGTCAATGTTGCTATCTTATCAGTGATGGTCAATGTTGCTATCTTGTCAGTTATGGTCAATGTGACTATCTTGTCAGTGATGGTCATTATGGCTACCTTGGTCATTGTGGTTATCTTGTCATGGATGGTCAATGTTGCTATCTTGTCAGTGATGGGCAATGTTGCTATCTTGTCAGTGATGGCCAATGTTGCTATCTTGTCAGTGATGGGCAATGTTGTTATCTTGTCAGTGATGGCCAATGTTGCTAAATTCTCAGTGATGGTCAATGTAACTATCTTGTCAGTGATGGTCAACATAACTATCTTGTCAGTGATAGTCAATGTGGCTATCTTGTCAGTGATGGTCAATGTTGCTATATTGTCAGTGATGGTCAATTTGGCAATCTTGTCCGTGATGGTCAATGTAACTGTCTTGATGGTCAATGTAACTTTTTTTTTTTTTTTTTGAGATATATACAAGAGTTGTTACATTCTTGTACAGCCACTAGTACGCGTAGCGTTTCGGGCAGGTCCCTGGAATACGATCCCCTGCCGCGAAGAATTGTTTTTTCATCCAAGTACACATTTTACTGTTGCGTTAAACAGAGGCTACAGTTAAGGAATTGCGCCCAGTAAATCCTCCCCGGCCAGGATACGAACCCATGACATAGCGCTCGCGGAACGCCAGGCGAGTGTCTTACCACTACACCACGGAGACTGTGATTCTTGTCAGTGATGGTCAATTTAACTATCTTGTCAGTGATGGTCAATGTGGATATCTTGTCAGTGATGGTCAATGTGGCTTCCATTGCGAATAGAGTTGCGAGTACAGACATGTGCCTTCGGCCAACCGATGAAAACATCATTTTTGAACATATTAAAAAACGAAAAATATATGAACATTTATATTCCTATGATAATATGGAAAAAATATATGAGGCCTGTAGAAGTGGAGGTCTGGAGAGTTAGAGGTCTGAAGAGTTAGAGGTCTGGAGAGGAGGAGGTCTGGAGAGGTGGAGGTTTAGAGAGGAGGTCTGGAGAGGTGGAGGTCTGGAGAGGAGGAGGTCTGGAGAGGAGGAGGTCTGGAGAGGTGGAGGTCTGGAGAGGAGGAGGTCTGGAGAGGAGGAGGTCTAGAGAGGAGGAGGTCTGGAGAGGTGGAGGTCTGGAGAGGTGGAGGTCTGGTGAGGTGGAGGTCTGGAGAGGAGGAGGTCTGGAGAGGTGGAGGTCTGGAGAGGAGGAGGTCTGGAGAGGTGGAGGTCTAGAGAGGAAGTCTGGAAAGGTGGAGGTCTGGTGAGGTGGAGATCTGGAGAGGAGGAGGTCTGGAGAGGTGGAGGTCTGGAGAGGTGGAGGTCTGGGAGAGGAGGAGGTCTGGAGAGTTGGGGGTCTGGAGAGGTGGAGATCTGGAGAGGTGGAGGCATAGAGAGGTGGAGGTTTGGCGGAGGAGGAGGTCTGAAGTGGAGGAGGTCTGGAAAGGAGGAGGTCTGGAGAGGAGGGATGCTGGAAGGAATATGAATATAAAATCTTGGAAAGTGAAGGATGGAGTGTTACGGGAGAAGGTTGTTAACTATAAATTGGTACGAAATGTCTTGTCACCTATTGCTGAAAAAATTGGACAGGGAGAAATAAACGGTTTGGTTGTGCTACTTCACTGTTTGGGTCTCTGTCTCATTTCCTAGAGGCAGTTGGTCCTGACAAACTAACTGTGGATATTCATCAAGCCTCCACCGACAACTTGGTGAATTTACAAACTAATTAAGTGTAAAATTATTTTCCTGTGATGGAAGTGTCCTCCAGTTATTCTTTTGATATGTAAATTATCCAGAAATCGAATTATTTAACTTCAATGATTCAGTAAATTTCAGTTGGTACACAATTTCGTTTAATATAAAAATGCGTGATTTTGATGAGGAATTTTAGAAATTTTGTCAGTATTTAGGATAAGGTGTAGTTCTTTTTAGCTGCTGGAAGCTATCACAGGAGAAAATGTCAGAAAACTGGATAGCTGAGGTGAAAGCATTGTGGAAACAGCATGTTAAGACGACAGGTGGTATCATGTGTTCTGTGGGGTTTATATGATAACCAGTGACTGTGATATTGTGTTTAATAAACAGGGAAAGAGTGAGTGTCTAGTTACAGTATATTCCGTTTGTCTTACAACTTTGTTTATAGATTGCTTTTTGAATGGTAGTGAGTTGTCATATCAAACAGTTGGTCATATTATGTCTAAAGTACAGACGTGAACTGAAACGAGCATGAAATGTCATTAGTGTTAAGAGTGGGTAACATGATGAGTGGAGTCTAAATTGTTGGGTGAATGTCCCCTTTTTTTATATTTTGTTTACTTTAGCCTTTGCTTGCCTTTTGGTTGTAATTTAAAACATCACAGATTCCCCCTTTCCCACCATGAGATATATTTAAATGACAATGGATCATCTGCCTGAATCCTTTTCATAGAATAGAGCCAGTTACCCGAAAATATTGTTCGACTTCTGAGTCTTTCTGCCAAATCACTTTCGCCGATGGTTCGTTGAGCACATCCCGGACAGTGTGGAAGGGCTGAGGGATGTGTCTGACAGCCAGGAGAGCCATGAGGTTACCGGCGTAGCTCTGTGTCAACACCACCGTCACCAGCCCCCACACCGCCAACACCACCCGCTCCCACCACCACACACACGGCACTGGAATATCTGTGTGAGAGTTTGGGAGATGCTAAGACATAAAAAGCGCATTTGCATTCCAAAAATAGAATTATAATTTGTTAATATATTTGAATACCAATTTACTCTTAAAAACATCTTTGCAGACAAAATTATGCCACTAAAACTACATACAAAATTTTTTATTTCACTCTCTTCAAATATTATCTTACAGAAGTACCTTGTTGTACCTTGTTGAAGAAAAATACGTATGAAACCCTCGACACTGTCCAACCACCGCCTGAAGGTAAAGGCCATGTGTGTGAAGCAAGCCCCAGAGAGCACAGTGACGGTCGGCCCCACCAGCGCCGCCGTCAGGGTCCCAGCCCACACCGTAGACCCTAGGGGAGATAGAAAGCCCCACGGGTCCACTTCCGGGCGCCCTCGACCCGCCAGGATTCTGAGGTAATTCACATCGAGAGGATAGGTGAAGTCGACCACCTGTGCCCGGTTGGCACTTACAGTGAAGGGTCCCGGACTCATGTGTGCCTCCTGTGGTCATCACAACGGTGAATGTTTCTCAGAGATTGGCTCAAAGTAGTCATCATACAAATGTGAAGAGCACTTAGTTATATTAGCAAAAACGATAACGTATTTGAAAAGCGAAATCTGACTAAATTTGCCTTTTATTTATCAGCAAATCAAAATCTTACTTAAATAGCCAAATTTATTCAGGCAGAGAAATAAGAGTACATATGAATATATTGTGCACAAATATACAACGAGAAGTATAAATGGCTTCACAGTGCTTCACTGAGCTTCCTTTAGTTCTGGTCTTTATTCCGGACGTGTGCCTGCAGCCAGGCACCGTCTGCTGCTTCTCACAAAGACATTTATCTTATAGGAGTCCATACACTCACATCCAGTCTAGCCTGAGAGGACACACACCCACACGCAACCTTATAAGCGTTTCCATATACACAAAAGGTAAGGATCAAGTGATAAAACTGAGGACAGATAAGTTAATTATCAGAAGAAAGCACTATAAGCCATTACGACTATGTAGAACTTGTAAGGGAATAGTGGATATATCCACCCAACCTTCACCTCCACCAGAAGCCTGAAACTTCGCTCTAGCAAACTGAGACCGCTTTCAAAACTTCATCTCAAAGTGGCATAGAAACTATGGTGTTCCCAAAGACATTAATCAGGCAGAACAAGATTTTGTCAGAGCAATTCAAAGTGCAGTCAACCACAACTCCACTAAATAAAACAGTCTCCCAGACACCACAAAGATCACTGCTACTATTGGGAACGTCAAATAACTAAATCATAGTCTCAACAGCACAAGGAAGCTATATAAAAAACACCCACGTGACCGCAACAGGACCTTACTTTCTGAGGTCAAGAAACATGTGCATAAAAAGACCAGAATAATCAAAGAACAAAACTAGTTGGAGTGGTGTTCACATCTGAATGAACACACCTCTCTTCTTGAGATGTGGCAGCAAATCTACGGGGCCAAAGCAAATAAAACACCAAAAGCTCCATACCCTAAGGATCCTCAACAGGAAGCCGAAGTACTGGTAACCAAATTTGCAGAAAGAGCAGCCAGTAATCATCTTCCACCAGATGTACTAGTAGTGCAAAAGGGATTAGAGGAAGAAAGGTGGCACAGAATCCTAACAGCCTGTGCAGAAACCTCTGACACTTATAACCTTACACACTGGACGAGCTGAATCGGGCTAAGAACCCCCCCCCCAAAGATACATCCACTGGGACAACAAAATAACCTATAAAATGATCAGGAACCTCGGCCCAGAAAGAAATGCTGCATACCTAATGTTAATTAATATAGCTTGGACTTGTCAAACTAGAACTACAGCTTGGAATAACGCAGACATAGTGCCGAGCCCAAAACCCAAAGATCCAGCTAATCTAAGGCCCATCTCTCTCCAAACCTGTGCAGCAAAGACGGGTGGCAGAATGGCACTCAACAGATTTGAACGGAAAATGCCTAAACTGCACCAGGACATGTATGCCTATAGAAAATGGGTGAGTACAGTAGAAGGTATTACCACTCTGTTATCCCACCAGAATGACAGACCAGGAATGCTGATATTCCTGGACCTCGAGAAAGCCTTTGAAATGACTTGCAAATGCTTTTGAAAGATATTCTATAAACAGGCAACTTTAGAAGCAGAAGAATTCTTGTAGGTGATCAAAGATTGTTTTCCCAAAGAGGTTTTTATTGATCATGTCGGTCAAAATAGTTATTTGGATTTGGTCCTGTTAAAACCAGAACACAAAGACTATCAATAAAGCAATAGGCAAAGAACTAGGTTATAGCGGTCACAAATAAATTAGATCCGGTATCACCTGGAGAAGCTACGCTAAAAAATAGTAACCGTATCACATTCCAAGATTCCCAGTTAATACAAAACTCAACTAAGGTTACTTGGGATACAGAGAACGCGTCACAATATTGTATCTGAAGAGTTGATGTCCAATTCACAAATGAAATCACAGAAAGAACGACGTTCCGGTCCCTCCATTATCAAGTCGTGTGATGGAGAGACAGTGGAAGAGAAAATGAAGTAATGGATGGGAGTGAGAGGAAAGGCGAGAGGAAGAAAGAGAAAGCTGAAGATACGAATACGATGAAAGGTAAGAATAAGATAAAAAGGAATGAATAAGAGAAAGGTAAGAATAACAGTAAAGTTAAGAATAACAGTAAAAGCAAGAATAATATAACAGATAAGAATAATATAACAGATAAGAATAATATAACAGATAAGAATAATATAACAGATAAGAATATGATGAAAAGAAAGAATAAATGAAATGTAAGAATAATATAACATAAGAATAAGATGAAAAGAAAGAATAGGAGAAATGTAAGAATAAAGAAAAAGATCAGAATAAATGAAGCATAGGAAAAATGAAAAATAAAGGAAAAAGTTGTACATGAAAAAAAAGAACCTGGAAGAAGCCAAATGGGAAAGAGAAATGATCTAGTAACGAAAGAGACAGAAAGGAAAGGTAAAACAGTTTGTTGGGAGGAACAATAAGTCAGATCACGTTTATAAAGAAGGTTAGAACCTTTATGAATGCAATGTGAAAGGTAAGAGTCGACCGCAATCAAGTCACAACTAAGGTTCATTGGCTATGTTGTGAATCAGAGTAGATTCGCCAAATTATTTGAAGAAAAATCCAATCTATAGGATGATATGAGTCCCTAACATGACAGAATAGAGTATTGTTTGTGCCTGTAGACTTGAGATCGTCTCATGGGAATACCCCTGCGATGGAAGACAACACGAGCCTGATAATTTTAATAGTCTATCCTTCAGTAAATGAAAATATATTGAATATATAAATTTTAGGAGTGAAAATAGCAGATGAAAATAATATACCTAGCAGACAAAGTAGATCAAATAACAACAGCCCTAAATGAATGATAACTAAAATTAAATATATTTTCGAATAAAAATATTTTTAGAGTGCAAGATTGATAAAAATCAGGTTAAGCATGAGCAAGCAAAAGCCAAAAATGCTTACTTAGCTAAGACTGCCAGAGATGTGATGCTCAATTCAAAAGGATTTTTCCAACTATATCAAATGAGAGTAGATAAAAGAACAGGACCGAAGAAAACAATTTTCTTCAAGTTAGTTAATAAGAGGAGGAACTTAACAAAATACTAAATAACGTTGTCATATTAGAATTAATAAAGGAAAGTCTCGAAAATTTATCCAGCAAAAAGATAAATAACTATGATATTGATAGAAATAGATTGTGTTATTTACAGATTAACAAGAAATGTAAGATTAAACAGATTGAAAGACATAAATAAATAAAACTCTGCAAGCACAATTACGTAATTATAAAATACTCGTCTTGGGTCTTTAGGAAAAAGGTCACTGGGTTGGTCACTTGTCATAATTTAGTGTTATTGATCCAGAAATTCCAAATTACAAATCCACTGTGATAAACACATTTTATCGTACATGTATGATTTAATTACTTCTGCTGTGTAAGTAACTTAACTTTGGCAATATTGCTGCTTAATATTTTAAACAAAAACACTAAATATTTTTCAAAATTATTAAGACTAGGCAATTATTGCGATTCTTCTACATGATGAGGGATTCTCTTTAACTAAATTTGTGAAAAGTGGGATATTTAGGATTATTTTTATATGTCGTTACAAAGCAAAATAAAAATATATTGTTTTATTCTTGTCACATAACTAAACAATCTGCTGAAACAGCTGAAACATATTTCAAATTGTTGACAAATCTTGTCACTGACACCTAAACTTAACCAGAGAAAACCACATATTATATGCACACACCTCCCTGCTCACCACACACACCTCCCTGCTCACTACACACACCTCCCTGCTCACTACACTCACCTCCCTGCTCACCACACACACCTCCCTGCT